ACCACATGGATGGATGGACTGACAGGTGGATGAAGGGATGGATGGATAAATAGGTGGATGGCTGGGTGATGGACAGGTGGATGAAGGGATGGAGAGATGGATGGATGGACATATAGACAAATGGACAGTTGGAAGGATGAAGCAATAGATGGATTGACTGACGGATCGAGGGAGAAATAGAGAAGTGGGCAGGACAGGGAGAGAAGGAAACGCAGAGACAGAGAGGTGGAGAGATGCAGGGATTTCAGGGGGTGGAGGAGGAAGAAAGAGCAGGAATGAGAGAGAGAGTGGGGCATGGAGAGCGTGAATGGGGAAGGGCCAGATGGAGGAAAGGAAGCCCATGGCAGAGAGCAGGAGGGCTGCAGGAAGGGGGACAGAGAAAGCCAGGAAGGAAAGATGGATGGAGGGAAAATCTGGGGTGGGCAGAGAGATGGAAGGGGGAGGCAGCTTCCTCCCATGCTCCCTTCTCTGGTACGGCCCCTCCCCCCTCAGCTGCAGATTTGGGACCCCCCTCCCCCATCCTGCTGTGTTTACCCCTCCCCTCCCATCTCATCCTGTATGTCCTCCCCCATCCATGGCCACAGAGAGTGACTGATGCCCAGCTCTGGGAGGGGAGTGGGTCTAGTGGTTAGAGCCAGGGGGCTGAGAGCCAGGACTCCTGGGTTCTATTGCCCCAATGAAGGGGCCTGGCTTTATTACCCTCATGTGTCAGGAACGTTCATCTCCCTTCCATTGTCTCGGGAAAGATGGGGGCTAAAAGGGGAGGAGCATAATGCAGCCCCGCCCCTTCCCCATGCCCCACCCCTCTCGTGTGCGTCTGTCAGTCTGTTCTCATCCATCCGCTTGTCTCTCCCTCCCATCCCTGCCCCACCTCCCCTTCTCCCGACAGCTCTGCTGCTCAACAACCCGGCCTATCGGCTCTTCCTGGCCACATACGCCCAGCCAATGGGAGGGCTCGCTCGCCCGCCAGCCGACGGGGCTAAGCCAATCAACACAGATGGTAAGGAGGGCGCCACCTGGCGGCCCGACCTGGGAGCGCAGCAGCTCGTGGGCTGCATTCCTCCGTCCCCCTCTAGGGGGCGCTCTCTGCTTCCCACCTGTCTGACCTTCCACCCTGTCTGCATGTATAACCCAGGTTGGCATTGACCCGTGGCCCTCTGCTCCCATGAACCTCTCTGCTTTGGCTTATGGGACCGGGAGGGGTCGGGGCTTTGATAAGAGATAACATTGTACCTTCAGCTCTGCAGGATTCCTCATCCTGGTGCCAGGATGCAGCTGGCTCTGGGGCGGGGCACGTTCACACATAACAACGCTGCAGAAGGATTCCTCGCCTGATATGCAACTGCTTCTGGGCTGGGGCAGCTGTTTATACAGGGATCCCAGCACCAACATGCCGCTGCCTCTGCGCTGGGGCAGCTGTTCATACATGGATCCCTTGTCTGGCATTGAGATGCGGCTGCTTCTGGGGTGGGGCGGCTGTTTATACAGGGATCCCAGTGCTGAGAGGCAGCCACCTCTGGAATGGGGCGCTGTTTATACATGGATCCCTTGCCTGGTGCTTAGATGCGGCTGCTTCTGGGGTGGGGTGGCTGTTTATACAGGGATCCCACATCCATCACTGAGAGGCAGCCAGCTCTTGGATGAGGCAGCTGTTTATACAGGGATCCCAGCACCGAGATGCAGCCAGCTCTGGGGTGGAGCATATCAGGGTCTCCCAGCTGCCAGGAACGTCCCCGCTAACCCCCAGTCTCTTTGCCCCCCGCAGCCTGCAGCGGCGACTACATGGAACCAGACCCTGCCGGGGCCCAGGCCGTGGCGCAGAACAATGTCCCGCACTACGCCGAGGCAGACATTATCAACCTGCAGGGGGTGACGGGCGGGAACACCTACGCCGTGCCCGCTGTGGCCGTGGATGCGCTGGCCGGCAAGGACATGGCCCTAGGGGAGTTCCCCCGGGGGCGTCTCCTCTTCAAGGAGAAGCTAGGGGAGGGGCAGTTTGGAGAGGTGGGTCCCTGAACCTCATGTGCCCCTCTGGCCATCCCCAGCCCCCCCCACCGTCCCAGCTCTCTGCCTGCTTTCACTTCTGCTCATTCTCCCATTGCATCCTTCGCGTTGTGCTTTCATCCGTTCTTCCAGTCTTCATTCCTTTGGTCCTCCCCTGAGCCTTTCGTTCATTCCTTCTTCCGTTGGTTTTGCCACTCATGAGTTCAGCCTTTGCCTCATTCACCTGGTCTTGTGTTCGTGCACTCCTTTCGTCTTTCACTAATGTAGTCGTTCACTTGTTCATTTACACATTCGTCGGTTCCTTTGTTCTTCGTGTCATTGGTGCATTCGTTTGTAGTTTTGTGCATTGGTCCGTTCGTTCATTCATTCATTCATTGTTTTATTTAGTTGGTAATTCTTTCCTTTTTTTCATTACTTCATTCATGCGTTTGTACTTCCATTCTCTTCTTCACTCATTTGTTCATTCTTTCCTTCAGTCAGTAGTTTTTATTCGTTCTTTTGTTTCTTCCTGTGTTTGTTTGTCTGTGCATTCATTTATATGTTCTTTGATCCATTTGTTCTTTCATTCTTTTTCCTCCATTCTTTTGTTCGTTCTTTCGTTTGTTCGTTCCTTTGGTTCAGCCTTTCATGTTATTTCATAATTAATTATTTTATTCTCTTCCCTTCTTCATTCTTCTTTCTCTCTATCCATCTGTCCGTTCTCCCTCCAACCAGCCTTGACTCTTACTTTCTCTCTCTCCCTTTCACTCTCACCTTCTGTCTATCTCTTTTCCCAACCCCCCCTTTGCTTCTGTCTGTCTTTCTCTGTAGACCTGTTTTCCCCCCCACACCTTCCTCCATCTCTTTCCCCATCCCTCTCTCCGCTCTGAGGAAGCGGGGGGACTATTTTATAGGCAGAAGGATCTGGGAGGCCGTGCTGAGTCCAGGGGAGGGTGTATTAGTGGGCGGGTGATGTGGCTGACCCTGCCCGGTATTGATTGGCTGCTGCTCTCTGCCCACCCTACCCCTACCTCCCAGGTGCATCTCTGTGAGATAGAAAGTCCCCAGGATCTGCCCATTCTGGAGTTCCCATTCAACGTGCGCAAGGGACGCCCCCTGCTGGTGGCCGTGAAAATCCTGCGCTCTGATGCAACCAAGAATGCCAGGTGAGTGCACGAGGGTTGCGGGGGGAGGGGGGGGAGAGGTGGGGGACGATGCTTGTGCAAATATGGAGCATCTCATTGCACGCAGGGGGAGTGATCGTGGAGACACAGTATCTCCTGCTGTACATGGAGAGTTCCTTGTGAGACCTCAGGCCATCCCTTGTGAGTGCACGAGGAGGGGTACATGTGCAAACATGGCATGTCCTGATTCACAAGGAAGGATGCTTCTGCGACCTCAAACCATCTTTTGTGAGTGCACAGGGGAAGGGGGGCAGTCGTGCAAACACAGAACGTCCCATTGCCTGAGGTGGATGCTTGTTCCACCTTGGACCATCCACTGTGAGTGCACAAGAAAGGAATGCACGTGCAAACTCAGAACATCCTGTTGTACCAGGGGAGACAGGTATGTCAACAGAGACCTTCCTTTGCACAACGCAGATGGTTGTTTCACCATGGCTCACTCATCGTGAGTGCACGAGAAGGTAGCTTGTGCCCCCTTAGACTGTCCCATTGTGAGCATGCAACAGGGATGCTTGTGCAACACAAGAACGTTGCACGAGGGGGATGCTTGTACAGCTGTGGATTATTCCCTCGTGAATGCACCATGATGAGACCTTTCCCCCCACCCCAAGGAACGACTTCCTGAAGGAGGTGAAGATCATGTCACGGCTGAAGGACCCCAACATCGTGCGGCTGCTGGGCGTGTGCGTGCGGGACGACCCCCTGTGCATGATCACCGAGTACATGGAGAACGGGGACCTCAACCAGTTCCTCACCAGCCACGAGCTGGAGGACAAGCTGGGGGGCAGCACCAGCGATGCCCCCACCATCAGGTACCAACCGCACCACCCCCCGGGCAGGCCAAGGAGGCCTAGCCCAGCCAACCCTGCACCCTGGTGTGGGGCTCAGGGTGTGGGATCCAGGGGTCCCGGTGCATGCTGGGAATATCTAATGTTCCCTCCCTTTCTCTACCTCGGTGCATGCTGGGAATATCTCTGACATCCCCCTCCTCCTTTGCTGAGCTGCCCCCGCTGGTCCACGTGGCGGCTCAGATTGCCTCGGGGATGAAGTTTCTGGCCTCTCTCAACTTCGTGCACCGGGACCTGGCCACGCGCAATTGCCTGGTGGGGGAGGGCTTCACCATCAAGATCGCCGACTTCGGCATGAGTCGCAACCTCTACTCGGGGGACTACTACCGCATCCAGGGACGTGCCGTGCTGCCCATCCGCTGGATGGCCTGGGAGTGCATCCTCATGGTGAGACCCTCCCTGAAGGCGGGGTCTGGTGGAGAGGGGGCGGGACCTGGGGAAAGGGGTGGGGCTAGTGGAGGGAGGACTACGCCCGCATCCTGGGCTGCAGTGTGCGGCCCATTTGCTGGATGGCTTGGGAGTGCATCCTCCTAGGGAGAGGAGGCGGGACCTGTTGGGGAGAGGGGCAGGGCCTAGGGGAGAAGGGAGAAGTGGGGAATGGACAGGGAGTGGGCAAAGGGAAAGCGGGGAGTGTGGAAGGGGAGAAGGAGGAAGGGAGGGGGAAAGAGGAGTGTGGAAAGGAGAGAAGGTGAAAAGGGTGGAAGAGAGGGAGAAAGTGGAGGGGGAAAGGGAGTGAACGGTATAAGGGTGTGCAGAGGTGGCAAGAGAGCGGAGGGGCCTGTGCTGGCTCCCTCCAGCTTCCAATCCACTGGCTCCTGGCAGGAGGTAATTTGTTTTAAACTGTGGGGTGCACCCTGGCAGAGAGGAAGGGCTCCCCACAGTTTGAAAACCTCTGTGCTAAATGGAAGGCAGAAATATTGGGGGGGGGGGACACAGGGGACATGACCCTGCATGCCCCCCCATGCATCGCCTCTAGGGGGCACAAATATGCTTGCTTACCCTGGGCGCTAAAATGCCTCATTACAGCTCCGAGGTGGAGAGAATTTGGGTAGGGAACAGGGCAGAGGGAGTGGAGGAGGGAGCGGGGAAAGAGGAGTGGGATGGGGGGGCAGAGTTCTGTCTTGGGGTTTCTCCCCTCTCCCCCACCCACACTAACCCCGCCCCCCAATGCAGGGGAAGTTCACCACGGCCAGCGACGTCTGGGCCTTCGGGGTGACACTCTGGGAGGTGCTGATGCTGTGTCAGGAGCAACCCTACAGCGAGCTCACCGACGAGCAGGTCATCGAGAATGCCGGACAGTTCTTCCGGGACCAGGGCGAGCAGGTACCGGAGACAGGGCAATTCCCCCCCCAGGGACGCCGGTTCCCATCCGGCCCCTGGCATTGGAATGGCTGGTTCAGGGGGGAAGGGGAATGGGACACGGGATCTTTCCCCTCTAGGGGGCACTGGCTGCCCTCCGGCTCCAGAGGTGGCTCAGGGGGTGGGAATTGGGCCTGTATCCTCTAGGGGGTCGTGACATCCCCCAGGGTACAACCTGGACTGTGGAATCACTGCGCCCCCTTAGCTCCCTAGCTCAGGGGAGCCCCTACAGACTTTGCCCGCACACAGCCATCAGCATGGGAAGCCGCACCCAGCAAAGTTACACGAATCTTCTCCCAGCCACTCATGAATGGTACACAGGGAGACACCCACAAATCCCCCCATCCCCAGCCTTGCACCCCAGAACTGTGAGTCTTCTCCCTGCTCCCACACAAACACACAGTTCAATTATTCTTCTCTTTGTCTTCCAAACGATCTTCTGTCCGTGTGTTGAGATGGTGATGCATCTCTTATTTTATACCCTCCTCCTCTCCTCGAGGAACACTCCCCACCCGCCCTGCTGGGGTGTAGACAAAACAGTCCCCTGTGTACATGAGGTTCAAAGCATCTCTCATGTGAATTGTATATTTCTTGCTCGCACCTTCTGGTTCGTGACATTTGGGGTGACGTGCAAGGCCTTTGTTTACAGTCCTTTGTGATTTCTGAGGAGCTAGTCTGTGGGCGTTCCCCAGACTCACAATATGTTTCAGTAACAAACATGTAGCAAAATCTCATAAGTCAGTATACAATGACTCACACAGCTTTTAATGGGACAATGATGTTCAGCAAGTTATGACTTTTCAAATGATACCTCACAAGGCATAGTTTGTACAAAATATATCATAACCATATACAAGGGGTGAATATGGAGGTATAGTATGTCACGGGGTGCCGGCTCTGATCTGGCACCAGGGCGGGACAGCTGGCTGGCTTGTGGGATAGGCATCCACTGACCCCACTCTGCCCCCCAGATATACCTGTCCCGGCCCCCTGCCTGCCCCCTGGCTCTCTATGAGGTGATGCTGCGCTGCTGGGTCCGCGAGTCCAAGGACCGTCCCTCCTTCCAGCACATCCACCGCTTCCTGTCTGAGGACGCCCTCAACATGGTGTGAGCCAAGCTGAGCAGAGGGGGGGCCAGCCCATGTGGACTCCCAGGCATCAGCTTCTATTCTGCATCTCTCCAGCTACAGCTGTGGGTCGTCTGTGCAGCAGCTCGGGTGGGGAGCTGGATTTGGGAACTGGAAGCTTCTCTACTGGGGCGTCTTAAGGGGAATCTGTCCTTGTGTCTGGCCCTACCTCAATCTGTCCATCCCTGGCTGGCCAGCCTGCCTGCCACTCTAGCTAGCTAGCTCACTTCTCTCTCCAGGCATTCCTGACTCATTCTATTGATCTATTTCTTCTTCTATTCATCCTTTCTTCGTTCTCTCTCACTCACACACACACACACACTCCATATCCCTCTCTCACTTTCTCTCTATCCCCTACTCTCTCTGTCACCATCTCTCATCCCCTCTATGTCTCTCACTCCCTTTTTTCCCATCTACCCTTCCTTGCTCCTTACTCCTCCTTTTACTCTTCCCCTCTGTATCCCTTGGAGGGTTTTTCTTTCCTCCCCACTGCCCTCCTGCAGTGGGGCTGACTCCAAAGGGGACGTGGCAGAACTGGCTTTGGGGGTCAGACTTCTGTATTATTTTTATTTTGCGTGGACTGGACTAACACTGGGGAAAAAATAATGCCTTGGTCTCATGGCACTGGGGTGAACTGAACACTGGATGTAGGAGTTGCTACTGACATGGACAGGGGAAGGGAGGGGTGGTGCAAAGGTACGGGACAACAATGAAATAGCCTGGAGGCAACCAGGCCACCCTCAGAGGAGGGAGACTGGTCTAGAGGGGCCCGGTGGTCTGCTCTAACAAAGCAAGAGACACTGTTTGTTCTAATAGGGCCAGATCCCCAATCAACCTCAATGCAATTACTGCTGGTTGATACCAGCTGGGGATCCGGGCATCATTGTTTGTAATTTAATTTTTCCTTCCTCCTGAGACTTGGAGGAAGGAATTGTAGATACCGTACTGTAGAGTCTGGGGGCAGCGAGATTTTCACCGGGGACTAGTGTTTTAGGGTGCATTCATTTTTGTAGAGGGAAAGAGGCACCACGCTAAAGGGCCTTCTCGGAAAATCAAGTGCCTTTAAGGTGCGAAATCACTAATCACTTTGCAAAGTCTTGAGCTGAACTTCTCAAAGGAAGTGAAGGTGAGTGAAGTGCTCAGAGAAATGAATGAGCTTTGAGCACTAAATTTCCTTAGATTTCTCCAAAATCCCCAGTCATATTTTTGTTTCCAAGGAGTAAATATTGATGACTGTGATATAGATTTAATGATTCGGATGTGTATGTTTTTGTCTCTCTCCACCCACACACAACCCTGTCAAATGCTTTTTATTCATTTTTTAAAAAAATTCCTTGCTAATCTTGGTAGTTTTTTTCTTTTTTACTATTGTTATTTGGAAACGGGATCTGTACATATTTGGCGAGTAGAGAGAAAAAAAAGATTTTTACACTAATATATAGATTTTTGTTGTTGTTGTTTAGTTGTTTCCTTTTATGTGGTGAATAAAAGCTTTGCATTTTCTATACATGTCTCCTTGAAGTTGCTTTCCTCATCAAAAGTTGTGGGAATTAGGTTGTAAAGTTTTGTCAGACAAACTTGATATTTTTTTTGATGATTTCAAAACTTTGGTTGACTGTTGTATATACACAATGTTGAGAAAGGTAACTCTGTTGACATAATACAATGAGACTTTTGTACCACACAACATCCCAATTAAAAAAAATTAGCACTCTGAAAAGATCAATGCAGCCCACATGAAATGGGTAAAAATTGACATACTGATAAATCTCAAGACGCAGTTTTCAATGGGAAATCATTATTGAATAGGGGGCGTCTAGTTGGGTCTGTTCTGGCACTTACACTGTTCAGTTTGAGGGGGAAATGCGGCCTTCTGTCCCCAAACTACGCCCATGTAAAAAAGTGGGCAGGCATCCCCGACCTCCCCAGTTCTGGCACCCCGCGTTTCAGTAAACAGCCACAAGATTCCAGGTTTGGAAAACCTGCATTATAGTGACAAACTAAACAAGCCCCATCTATTTAGTTTATCCAGGAGAAGGTTAAGAGGTGATTTGATCATGGTCCACATGGGGTGAAAATTAAGTGCAGGAGGATGTTTAATCTAGTAGACAAAGATAGAATGAGATTCAATGGCTGGAATTTGAAGCTAGACACATTTAGGTTACAAAAATGGTGCAATTATTTAGCAGGGAGGGTAATTAATGACTGGAACAACTTACTTAGGAACCTGGTGGATTCCTAATCACCTGGAGTCTGTAAATCAAGAAAAGATTGGTCTTATCAAAAATACATTCTAGCTCAACCACCAGATATGGGCTTGATGCCGGAATTGCTGGGTGAGATTCTCTGGCGTGGGTAGGAATGAAAGACTGAATGTTGCTTCAGGTTGGGAGGGGACCTGGATCCAAACTGGGGAAGAAGAGATGTGGCTATTTAGAAAAGAAAGAATAAAGTAGTGAAGAAAGGAGCAACAAAATGAGAATGAAAGCCAGTGTGGGTTGGGAGGGGACCTTGGGTACTACAGGCTACAAAATGGAGGAAAGCGGGATGGAAGGAAGGGAAAAGAAGGCAGGGCTGGCCTCGGGGGTGGTGGGCCACCCAGGTGACTGCCCAGGGCGCTGTGGTCAGGGGGGGCACCATGTTGCAGCGCAGAGGTGTTTGTGCTCCCTGTGTAGTGTCAGAAATTGCTCCCTGCTGCTCTCCTGCCCTCCCCTTATGCAGCCCAGGTGGGGAAAGTGACCTGGGTGCTGGGTGCCCTGACGTCGCTCCTCGCTCCCCCCTCACAGCCCCCTGGGGGGGCGTGGCGGAGCAGCGTTCTGGGGAGCGAGCAGCAGTGCATCCAGGTCAGTTTCCCCATGTGGGTGCGGGGGGGGCAGGGGTTGGGGTAAAGGGGGGGGAGTGCAGAGATTAGGGGCACAGGATGGGGTGCAGGGGTTAGAGATGCAGGGGGCACAATACAGGGGTTAGGGGCGCTAGGGACACGGTGCCAGGGTGAAGGGGGAAGTGCGGGGATTAGGGGTGTAGGGGTTAGGGGGCAAAGGGAAGGTGGGGAGCCAGGGGCAATGGGGGACACCCACAGGGGCCAGGGCAATGGGGGGGGGCACCGCACACGCGGGCTAGGGGTGCCAAAAACAAGTTCACCGAGGGTGGCATTTTCCCTAAGGCCGGCCCTGACAGGAGGCAAGAAAAGGAACAAAGGAATGAAAGAAGAGAGAGAGAATGAAAACTGGTGGGTTGGAGAACCTGGGAAAAGAGGAAGCAAAGAAAGAATCCAAGCAACGGGAACAAGAAATGGAAGAGTCAAGGAACAAACGAATGAGAGAAAAAAACGGGAAGGTTGCTGCAGATTGGCAGGCCCGGCTGCAAACCACGGGGGAAAGGGCTGGAAAGAGAGAGCGAGCGAATACAGGTAAGTGGCAGCAGGCTGGGAGGGGACCCAGTCACAAAACTGAGGACGGCGGGATGGAGGCAGACGATGGAAGAAAAAAAGAAAATGGCTGAAAGTTGGTAGGACCTGGCTACAAACTGGGACCAGGCTCCCAACGGGGGCACGAGGGCTAGGGGTGGGGAGGGTTGCTGCAGGGTGGGAAGACCTGGGTCAGAGCTGGGGAGCAGGCCAGGAACTGGGGAGACGGGGGTGGGGTGGAGAAGAGAGACTGGAAAGAGGGGAGTGGGGAAACAAACACACGAAAGCAAGTCCCAGCAGGTTAGGAGGGACCCTGTAAACGGAGCAGTAGGAGACAGATTGTGCGAGGGGTGGGGGTTACGTAGCACCTGAGAGCACCACTGCACCCTGCTGGTGGAAAGCCCTAATTGCAGGCTCTGCTCCAGGAGGGATTAGACCGGGGTCTCAAACACTTGGCCCAGGGGGTTGTTTTCTGTGGCCCGCGAGCTCCTCGCGGCCCCCCCCCCCCAGCGTTTACCTAGAGCGGCTCCAGCCTGACGTGCAGCGGGGGAAGGGCAGGCTCCCTGCCTGCCCTGCCCCCGCGCCGCTCCGGGAAGCGGCCGGAACATGGGGAATGGGGGGGGCACAGGGCTCTGTGTGTTGCTCTTGCTTCAGGCAGCGCCCCCAGCAGCTCCCATTGGCCGCAGTTCCCCGTTCCCGGCCAATGGGAGCTGCTGGGGGTGGGGGTGCCTGAAGCAACAGCAATATACAGACCCCTGTGCCCCTCCTTCCCCAGGTTCCGGCCACTTCCTGGGGCGGTGCGGGGACAGGCAGGCAGGTGGCCTGCCCTGCCCCTGGTGCGTGTCGGGCCGGAGCCCGCCCCCCGAGCCCCTCCTGAAGCCCAACCCACTGCTGTACCCCACACCCCAACTCCCTGCCCTGAGCCCCACACCCCTCCTGTCCTCCCTGGGGGCAGGAAGGGGGCAGAGTTGGGGTGGGGATTTCAGGGAAGGGGTTGGAATGGGGGCAAGGCCTCATGGAAGGGGTGGAATGGGGGTGGGGCCAAGGGTGGCGGGGACAAGGGTGGCGGGGGGAGGTGTCAGTAATGTGGCCCTCGGCCAATGTACTAGTCCTCATGTGGCCCTCATGGTCATTTGAGTTTGAGACCCCTGGATTAGACCAGTGGTTCTCCAACTTTTGTACCGGTGACCCCTTTCACACAGCAAGTCTCCGTGTGCGACCCCCCCCCTTATAAATTAAAAACACTTTTTAATATATTTAACACCATTATAAATGCTGGAGGCAAAGGGGGGTTTGGGGTGGAGGCTGACAGCTCGTGACCCCCCATGTAATAAGCTCATGACCCCTTGAGGGGTCCCTACCCCCAGTTTGAGAACCCCTGGATTAGGGGGAGGGGGGATTAATTGCAAGGGGTGTAGAAAGCTGCTGGGGAGTGGAAGTTTTGATCCCTTTCCCCCCCGTACACATTGGTTTAGAGAGAGGTTGGATGGGGGTAGAGCAGGTGAGCCAGGACTCCTGGGTTCTTTCCCCAACTCTGGGAAGGGAGTGGGGTCTAGTGGTTAGAGCAGGGGGCTGGGA